TTAATATGTTAATTGCTTTGCCTCAGTTGGTGCTTGCTTTAACTCATGTCTGAGAAAACATGAGTTTTCTGAAGGAGGATGCACAAATATTCGATATGTGTGAGTTCCATTTCAGTGTATATGTCATAGTTATCCCTAGATGTTTGCAGTCTGTAACTTCGAGTGAAATGGGTTGAAGCGAGTACGGAAAGATAAGACACTGGCTTTTTTAGATTACTTTCATGAACACAGTTTTCTGGGCGTTAAAAACCATGTCCCATCGCTCACACCATTTATGAATTTTTTGCAAGATTAAGGAGTACTTGGTCCTCGGAACACTTCACTTCATTAAAGAGCACACAATCATCAGCAAAAAGTCGAATACTAAATGGTTCACAAATTTCATCAACAATATCATTTACGTATATAGAAAACAACAAGGAACCAAGCACACTTCCTCGTCGTACACCCAATGTCACTAGTAACTGCCATGAGCAATGGCCATCGATACTTACAAATTGTACTTTGTCACTTAAATATGCTACAATCCAAGAAACTAAAATCTGGTAAGCCTAGAGCCTGAAGTTTTAAAATTACTTTTACATGGCATACAAGATCAAAAACCTTTTTAATGTCAAAGAAAACAATGTCAACCTGTCCTGACTCGTCTGGACATGAGGCGAAGCTATGTATGATTGTGGTCAACTGGGTCACTGTAGACAGCCCCTTTCTAAAACCATGCTGAAACGGGATTACTGTATTATTGTCAGTCAAGTGTTTATGCAATTAGCAATGATATGCTCCAGCAGTTTGCAACTCGACGATGTCGGTGATATTTGTCGATAGTTTTTAATAACATGCCATCTCCTTTAACCCTTTTAGACGCTATCTATGAAGAACTGTTTGTACATGTGTCAAATCGCTTCTGCGTTACTTCAAGGCATTCAGTATTCTATTGTAACAAGAATAATGGGATCATTCTTGAATTTATGAGTTTTATAGCAACTCACTGCAATTAAATTGAAATTAAATACCCCTTTACCCTGAAGTCATAGATGCCCACTTTTTTCATAGATAGAATAATATCTCAGGCTAGGAATACAGTGCAAACTCATTTTCGGTGATGTTCATGTTGAGGAAAGAAAAATTCTTCTTTTCACATTGCTCGTACGAAGCGGCACGTCACCCCACTCATCGAGCGGGGTAGTGTCTTCAAAAAAGTGACCACATGTACCAGTACACTGCAAAATGAGATTGAATTAAAACAAATTTATTATGAAAGAGGTTCAATTGTCCCGTAGTAGGATATACTTTGCTCTTTCATTGCCTATACTTGATGAAAATTGGAAAAACGAGTGTTGTACACAATTGTGCACTTTACGTCTCAAAGGGTTAAGACGGGAATGATTCGAGCTGTTTTCCAATCAATAAGAATCTTAGCTGATGACAGGGCAACAGGGAAAATAACAACTAGGAATTTTGCAAGCACTTCAGCATACCGACGAAGAAAGGGGTTCCATATATTATTAGGCCCAGGCCCAGCCTCTGAAATAGCAGTGGAATTTCCATGCTCATGGTTATGGCTGTGACATAACTGTTCAGTTTGACTGGAAAAAACGCTATGAAAGTAATCATTGAACCTTTTAGCTATGCTACCTTATCATCGATTGGTACGCCATCGCACATGATACAATCAACTGCCTTTTTTTGTGAAGAAAGATATCGCCAAAACTTCTCAGGAGAGTTTTTAATAAAATTGGGAAGCCTGTAACTGAAATAATGTTGCTTAGTATTATAGATTGCCTTGTTCAACCTTGATCGGTTTACTTGCACTGCATATTTCCTTTTACTCCCTTTAATCTTTTGTACTTTCGTTTGAGATGTAAAATATCTCTTGTTATCCAAGGGAGGTCTAATTGTTTTTTGTACCTTGAAGGAACACGTAAGACACACCATGTCAGAGATACCTTACCTTTTACAGATATATTGTAATTTTCAACCAATATATTGTAATATATCTGCTGCTTCGTGTCGGCCTCGAGGAAATCTATCCTAAGTATATAACAAGAAGGCTTGTTTCCTGGGAACCTTCAACCGCATTTTTCTCAATCTTTGCAATGTGGCACACAGAAATATGTTGGCCTTGCCATTTCTATCAGCCGCCACCCGCTTCGATGTGCATCGCGTCGCACTTAGCCTTACACGCGGACTTAGCCTTACACATTTTACATCGCACTTAGCCTTACACACCTTACACGCACTTAACCTTACATTGCACTTAGCCTTACACTTAGCTGAACACGCGGATTTTTTTTCAATCCGATTGGGAACTGCGTGGCACCGGGATTTGAGCCTCGGACCTCTTGCATGCGAGGCGGATGCTCTAACCACTATGCCATCGCCGCACCACCAGTGGATTAGGGGACAAACGGGGGTTAAGGATATCATAGTTGAAATAAAGAAGAGGAAATGGACATGGGCCGGGCATGTAGCGCATAGACAGGATAACCGATGGTCATTAAGGGTAACTAACTGGATTCCCAGAGAAGAGAAGTGGGTTAGGGGGAGACAGAAGGTTAGGTGGGCAGATGAGATTAAGAAGTTTGCGGGTATATATTGGCAGCAGCAAGCACAGGACCGGGTTAACTGGCGGAACATGGGAGAGGCCTTTGTCCTGCAGTGGACGTAGTCAGGATGATGATGATGATGATGATGATGATGATGCTGGTGGTGGTGGTGGTGGTGATGATGATGATGATGATGATGATGATGATGATGATGGTGATGATGGTGGTGGTGGTGGTGGTGGTGGTGGTGGTGGTGGTGGTGGTGGTGGTGGTGGTGGTGATGATGATGATGATGATGATGATGATGATGATGATGCACGTTGAGAAAAGGTGGCCATTGTAGTTATGTTGCACCAAAGCTGTGAAAGTGGCACACTTGAAAACAGGTCTGCGTCGACGTAAATCAAATACATAAAGCCTGACAGTGCACCAAAGTGCTCACCCGAAAAAATTCAAAACTGCGACATGTATGATTGGGATGATGAACAGGGATCAAGTCCCAATCTCTTTGACCTGCCTTCTGAAATCAAGAAGATATTGAGGCAAACGAACTTTGGGACCATTAGCAAGACTCTCATAGTGTGCCACTACCTGAACAATACAGTGTCTGAGTTTGTGCGGCTGCGGTGTTCCATGCAAGAGCACCTCCTGGCTATCAAGGCACAGATGCCTCGATGGCAGTCAAGGCGCCACACTCACCCGCTCTCAATATCATCGAAAACATGCAACTGACTATGCTGAAGAAGACTTTGGGGAAACATATAAAGTGAAACTACTGCTGTTTCTTTCCAGAGGAGATCTTGGACGAAGTGCACCGCATCCTGTGACGCCTAAGATAAGCCCTGCCAACAAAGTGACAGATGAGCTCTTTGACCTGATGTCCTTGGCCATGGAGTATGTCAAGGAACACATTCCGCCTACGCTGCCCGAGGTCGACTACTGCATGGACGACTACCTCGACCACACTTCTTACCTTCATTGCTTGAAACACGAGATATCGCTGACGGGGGCCCCGCCATGTACAAGTACAAGCACACAGGGCTTATTGTCCAGAGCACCCCGGTCTTCTCAGCCGCCCCAGTCTTCCCTCCTTTCTTCAGTCAATGCAATAGTGAACATACGAAATCTCAACGCACGCATGAAGAAGAACCATGGGGCACTGCGTCGAAATCTGAAGCTGGCTCTCCGGCGGTTCACCAACCAGCAGCGACAAATGGTAGAAATAAAGGCACGCCAGGACCACTGCGAGCAGAAGCTGCAGACGATGTCGTGCGAGCTAGACGTAGTGCTGAAGAAGCTGAAGTACTGGCACTCCAAGTCGTCCACCATGCCGGCCTGCACTTACAGCAAGACCACTCTGCGTCTTGCCCAGGAGCTCATGACACAGTTACTTTAAAAACCAAGCAGGTTTTAGTACCATGTTTTACATTCGAAATGCTTCACTGTGCACCCTTTTTAGTTAGCACATTTGGAGATTCATATCTTCCATTTTTTCTTTATTTCTCAATGCTCACCCAAATTGTGTGGAATTAAGGAAGGCAAGCTGCCAAAGTTGACTGAAGCAAAGCTTCATAAATAAAGTTTTTTTATTGTCTGGTGATGCTCCTTTCAAGGCACTCTCTGGTCTACATACAACATTATGGCTGACCAACAGATAAGGCAGGTTGGTTCTGTTACTGTCCCAGGTCCAAAGATCTATGTGATCAGGGGCAGCACCAGGATTTTCTTTTTTTTCTTTTTTTTTTTCTTGTGGAGCACCGGTGACAAGTCTGTTTCTGTTCTTCCAGGGGGGCATGGAGGCATATTGAGCTCACGGGTTGTGCTTCGACTATGCTTGCTCTTGAGGGGGGGGGGGGGGGGGCAGGCAAGAATTTTGGGGGGCTCCAGATCACCCGTGCCAACCCCTGGTGCTGCCCCTGCATGTAAAGGGCAGTCATGTGCTAGACCCATGGATTTAATTTCTAGGGACAACGAGATACGTACCTTGATCATATGTTGTGATAGTCAGCTAATGCGACATCGGCTTTCCTAGGCACATGTAGCAGAACATAGCTGGGCTTCTTTGACTCACGAATGTGGCACAGAAAACTGAAGGTACTCAAAAGTAAAATTTCAACCAAGCTTACTCACCTTGATACACACACACACAAAGCATCACAACACAACATATTCATAACTGTTGAAGGTCTCACCAGGCTGTTATGAACAACTTGAGACATCTGAAGAAGGCTGACTGAGCAGAGCTTCAATAACCATAAAAAGTAATGGGAGTGAAGTTCAGCGAGCAAACCCAACAATTTCCTTTATAGCACCACATCACAGGTGGACGTGAACTTTAACTGTTACGAAATCTTTTTCTGACTCACAGCTTTCCACAGTACTATTCAGACAGGGCAACTTGAAGGCAGCACCGGTCTTTGCAGTACAGAATTCTAAAGATGACAATATACTTACAGAAAGTGTTATTGAAGGTCGACTTTTAGCTTGCTCCAGCAGCAAATGGCTATCATGGCTGCCAGGCCTGTCGGATTGTTGAGCATTGTTTGTGTCATCGTCATCCATCAATTTAGCTTCAGTGTGGCCTGTCGCTAAATTCATTCGCACATGCAGGCCAGCCGGTATGGCTTCTCCTAAAAAAACAGGCAACTTTACTCAGAGGGAACAAGACGCACATAAGCATGTTGTGAAACCATTGCCTGTTATGCAGTACAGACAACAAAACACCTAACACAGTGGTACACACATGTCTCAGCATTTATCTCTAAAATATTTAAAGGATGAGGTGGTATCAATAAATATTAGAGGTCAATTGCTATGATGTCTGACATCTTAACTTTGTAATGGTGTAAGCCAAGCAAGGCATTTTGATGGCAGCAGTATGTTGTTGAATGATATCCCTCAATTTCTCTAAACAACATGTAGCCTGAGAGACAAAATGGGGAGCTGAATATTAGTAATTACATAATCTTTTAGTGAGCATCCAAGTGTTTTACCCAATCAATATGTGACTAATAATGGCCAGGGAAAAGGTTTGTCACCTTGTGCTCCCTAGTGAATGACCATGCTGAGCAACCATCTGCTGTACTGTCACAATGAAAAGACTAATGTCACAGCACAAGCCCTATTGACACAAAATAGGTGGTCTCAGCAGTTGCATACATTTACCTGGCTTAACGTTTTTCCATTCCTTTTGGGCTTGAAAATGTTTTGTAGGGTTTTCTTCAGGTTTGCTATTTTCTTCCTCACTCTTCTTCTGAGATGCTTTCTGTTCAACAACTACAGAGACTGCCTGTTGTTGGCAGTGTGCACTCACTGCCAAGACAACTATAGCTGCAGCAAAACATAGTGGTCTTCCATGGAGCATACTGGTTCTCTCTTGGTGCCTCCGTTGTAGTAGTGCTGTCCCTGAAGAAACATTTATGTAAATGACGTCATGAGCACAATGTTCTTCTCAGTTGGCATATTTCAGGGCTCAAATGGGCCATTCAATGCTTTGAAAAAACGTGGCCAATCGGTAGCCAAGGATTCAAAGAACATGTGAGCCAAATATTACAGGGCAGCACACAGCCTCGAATTTGCAATTCTCAAAGTCAGCTAGAAATTGCTCTTCCTTCTTTTGACAAATGATGCCATCAACCCAAATGACTGCATCAAAAACCCAAATCGCACGGCCATTGTCTGATTTGAGCATCGTGCACTGCATAGTTACCGCAACCATTGCAAGATGGCACGACATGTCCAAGCATGTGCTCGCGATCACACTGAAAATAACTCATGTATTCAAAAGAAAAAAGAGAGAGAAATGGAAGCACTCAAGGTCGTGACATATGCGTGACGACTCTTTTTTTCTTTGTGCCATCCCACCCTGCTTAGCTTCCAGCAAGCTTATCAGGACAAAAGACGAGAGAAAGCGCTTGCAGCGTGGCGACAAATCTTTCACTCCGTTCATACTTGACGGATTCGAAAAATTTTCACAGCAGTCAATTGACAAGGCATAAAACTTCTTTAATGAAATAATTTGATAAATACTTGGAAAAGTGTTGCAGGGTACCTATGAAGTTGGTAGGGTGTAATTGTCATGTAAAATAGTCGCATGTACTACAAGTAGTGCAGCCAGTAATTTCTTGTCAGTGGGGCATGCTCTTGGTGCAGCTGAGGGGGCTGAGCAGACAAATTTTTCTGATTGTTGATCTATCTAAGGAGTGTAAATATAGACTGAAATTCGCGAAGGGTATATGCCATCCCCTGGCTAGGCCACCAACTACCATGATTATGTGCTATAGAGATAAGTATAAACATTAAAGTTCAAGGAACATGAAGAACACTTGAATTTGAATCAAACTAAATCTACAGATTTACTTGCAGAAGCCCCACAGCCAAAATAATGTGAAGAATCACAGCATAAGATGCACAGGACATAATATGAAACCACAACATATGTTTGATATTTCATTTTATCAGTGGAGAAGAGCTCACACACTTCAGGATAAGAGTTTTATGTTTTGTGATTTAAACATACTATATAACAATTAAAATCATTTGGACTCAATACAGAAAACGGCCTTAAATTCTAGCAGGGCTCGAAGTGTGCCCAATAAAACTACTCACTTCCTATTTTTGTCAAAAGTATCGACTCTCTTTGGTTGGAGACAAGTTCACAGATAATAAGTTGGATTTGCAGTACTGACGCAAGCAATGAAGCAGGTAAATAATTAAGCAAATATATGGATGGCCATTGAACACTAATTAAAATTAACTATAATCTAAAATACTATTACTTGTAGCAAAAAATATATAGAAATGTTAAAGCTGAGCTCCAAAATCTATTCTGAGCTCCAAAATTTATTTCTAACCATAATCACATATAACTGTTGCCAAAGCAGCAGTTTACAATTGGTACGAGATAAAGCAATTTATCATTTTCATATTATACCAAAATAGCCTGCATAGAAAAAAAAAGTAAAGCACAGCTAAATGAGTTATCAACTTAAAATGCCAGTCTTGTAGCATAAGAAGTCAAAGCTGAAAAAGCGAGAAATGTAATCCGTCACACACCCCAGCAGTAGCTAACAATTAGTAAGCATTGAACTACAAATTAATTTCTCACACATTTCTCAAAAATAATCGGCTTATCAGGTATAAATATACAGCTAAATTGGGTGTTTCTTATGCAAGTGTAATTGTAGGGGTTTAATGTGCCAAAAGCATCATATGATTATGAGATGCTGTAGTGGAGGGCTCGGGCAATTCCGACCACCTGAGGTTCTTTAACATGCACCTAAATCTAAGCACATGAGCCTCAAGCATTTTCACCTCACCAAAAGTGGTCGCAGCGGCCAGTATTGGATCCCGCAACCTGCGGGCCAGCAGCCGAGTGCCTTAGCCACTAGACCACCACGGCAGGTTTTTCATGCAAGTACTTGTGTCATAGTCAATATGCTATTATACAGCTATTATACAAAGTATACTATCATCCTAGTATACTAGGATGATAGTACACAGCTTGTTTTTGTTTTCACTGCGGCTGACTGTATGTTCACACTGTTAAAGATCATTGTTCCCAGTTTCCCAGAGCACCTTCAGAGCAGTTACTAACAAATATTACACTTTGGAGCAGCATTTCTCTTTTGGAGCAGTTTGAAGCAATTGGAGCAGCAGTTCCATCACTGGGCCCACCGTACTGGAACTTCAGTGTGGTGGCTAAAGAATGTTAGAAAATTGTATTCAATGCCTCGGAATACTCCTGGCATGTGTAAGAAACCATTTACCAAAACCACCATGCATGGCCACAAGTCTCACAACAGATGTAACTTTTGTGTGACTTTTGGTCCTCCAAAAAGGTGGCTAAGATGATGTCAGTGCAAACCACATACCTTTGTCAAGTGACAAGCCCTACATAGAAAAAACCAGCCGTGGCATTAATGACTGCGCATGGAACATGTCAGGAACACAGGAATAAAAAAGGTGGACCCTTGCAAACACATTACAGTTCCATCAGGTCTGACCCAGACTTCTCATATATATAAATCATAGAAAAAAAATAATACCATATCTTGGGCAAAGCGTTTCGAGGGCTTCTACATCAACAAATATGGTGCCAGTTGAAGCAGTGACACAGTTTTAGGCCAGTACACATAAGAAGCCTGTTGGTGAAGCTAGTCGCATCAAATTCAAAACCATAATGTTTTGTTTTTTATTTATGGCAGTGGTTCTGCACACGTCTTTTTTGTGATGTGATGCACATAGGCAAAAGTGTGATGGCTTAACAAGAGAGTTGGTAGAGGCCATAGGTCAACAACAAAAAAAAAGACGAACACTAACTCATTAAATATATCTTGGGCTTTGGCCTCACTCGGATTCAGACCTACCAAAATAATTTTCCTCAGCCAGACTCGTACGCATGGAAATTTTTTTCAAGCACACTCACTCTGACTCAAACTCACCAAAACATTACTTACCCAGACTCTCTCAGACTCATGACTTGATCTGAATGAGTCAACTCATGAATCTGTTAGCCTAAAATTAGCTTTTCCGACCAAAATGTCAATGCTCTTTAACCCCAATATATCACATAATCAGTGTTCTAAGCGCCTTTTGATATATTTCCTCCAAGTATTTGTTATGTGTGGTTTCAAACCAGTAAGGTCCTTTTTGTTGAAAGAGATGACAACACAAGATATATTTATCAAGAACTTCCCTGGAAGAGTTGGCAGTGGGGAGGTCAAGGCACCTCCCTACGTGTTTCTCGCCTTTGATCAGTACACATTGAAATCGTGTGCGAACGATACTGCTTTGGAATACGCGTCAGTACACCTGACTATAAAGGTAAATTCAGGTAAGGCTGACAGTAATGCTGAAGATGAGTTGATAGGAGAGGCACGTCACCCGTATTTTTTGTTATGTATCCCGCCTTATTTCGCGCCCCTCAGTTTAGTGTCCTAGCATGTGTTCACAAACCTCATCATGCATGTATTGCCTGACAATATTTACGAATTTTTCACGTCGGCTTTTAAAAAAATATAAAAAGATATCGAAATGTGTTGTACCGCTTCAAATGCACTAGGCAACTAAAACCGCGACCTCGTGCTGATACATATAACGCAGGATTTCTAAATCTTGAGCTGGAGAGCGACATTGGGCTCGCTTTTTAACCTAGCACGAACACATTTCAGATCCCGTAATATTATATATATATATAATGCAACAACAAGGCACTCATTATGTCGAAGGCCCCAACACCTTTTCGATATTCTATTCCCCTGAACGTTAGAAACGATGACACAAAGCTATTATTTTTAACGTCTGCTTTATGGCGTGTCACGATCGCGCACGAAATAATGCATTACACACAACTGGCACTTTTCGCGCTGATGCGAAGCCGGCGACACAACTCGGTAGCTACACGTGTCAGCCATGTGATGTCTACATAGTTTAGATGGGTGAACTACTGGCTTATACGCCCCACGACTCCAAAACGTGTGAAGACTTTACTGCAAAACTTACACAGCAGGCACGGCCACAGCTTTATCAAACAGTCTTCTCGAACTTAGACGGCAGAAACTACAGTGTACCATAGGTGTTCTGTGAGTGTACAGCAGGAGAAACTATCAAAACGCAGCACCGACGTCCACAACGTGACGTCACAGAACACCTACATGTGACGTACTGCACCAGAACACCTCGATATGCATGCCCCCGCTAGAGTGGTGTAAGCTTTTGAAAGGGTGCAGGTGCCTTGGAAGCAGCGTGGTCGCCATTTTGACTCCTCAGACCGACTACTTGTGCGTGGTTTTTTTTTTTTTGTCAGTGCTCGTGTTTTTTGCCATCACCATGGCCGGGCGTTGCATTCTGCAGTGCAGCAATTATTCTAAAAGTGGCTGGAAGTTGTACCGATTTCTAAGAGGTCCTAAATGACGACTTCTTTGGACGGTACAAGTCAAGCGTGACAAGTGGCATCTGACAAACGCATCATACATTTGCATCGTAAGTAAACACTTGCTGCTGTTTTTTTTTATGTAAGAATGCATAATAATTTGATGAGCCAATATTATATGGCGCTGTAATATTTCTTTGTTGAGAGCGTAGGCAAACGTCGGGTAGCTAAACATTGCGCAGCGTACTGTTAATCCACGGCATTCTGAGAGTACACGAATCATTCGGTTGAGTGACTCCGCTCTAAGAAAAGAAAAAGGCGTCGGATAGAAGGCTGGTGTTCTTATGGAATATAAAAGCACCGGCATCGGCATTTCATATTGGTCAAAGAGCTTCAAGTAGACTTATACATTCCGAAATATTGCTACGTGTCGTTTGGTGGAGAAGTTTTACCTTGACTGCTGCGCTTATTTATTTGTGCACATGTTCCCCCGAATCGACCGACATTTGAGAGTCTCTACTGAGATCAATGCGGTTGAATACAAAATATACGCCGTTTCTGCAAAAAATGAGATGCGCGTAATGTTGTGAGACCGTTACCGCACACGCTTTTATTGTAGTGCTGGCTGCTGGCTAACAAAGAAAGTGCTATGTTGTATTATATTCTTACACGAGAATGAAACTCTATCGCATTAGGAATTTGGAGCCTTGGGTACGAAGCTTTTGATGGAAAATTTGCAACTACCACCTTATAATCGTCTTTCATAAACCCAGTCCTTCGTCCGATATCTTTTTATTTACACGAATTTTCATTGCAAAACTTCGAAGCGTTACCATAGCATCAGGCTATATAGGTTAATGACTTCGTGAAAGCATACGTGAGCCAAGCCCACAAACTGGAAGGAGGGAGAGGGAGGTGCTAAAAGCCCTGGTCCTTTGTCCCCTGCCGATATTTTGATGGAGGGGGCGGTTTACCGAAAATGAACAACAAGAATGGCCTGACGTGAACTTAGCTCTTTTCAATTCTTTTGTCCAAGTCACTGCTGTAGCTTTTGCCATGAACCACACTGCATACATGCCCTAGTACAGGTTAAGTCACAATGACAGGCAGCCGTTTTCATCGAACCAGACTGTCAACATATCCATTCAAGTTTTCTTTGCGCGCTCCTTTCAAACCGGACAACTACGAAAAAAAAAATGCGCAGATTACTGAAAAAATTTGAAACCGAATGCAGTCCCAACTTTGTTCACGTTCAAACGCAAGTCAAAGCTCAAGACGCAAGTGAAGTTAGGTTTTGGGTGATATAAAGCAGTATTCATTGCAGTCATTGTATGAATCTGGCACTTCTATAAGGTTGAAACCAGTGCAACTTTAGGGTGTGCACAAATTAATTCAGACATCTAAAATGTACAGGCTTACACCTACAACACTCGACTTCACTGCTCGGAGCGAGTCGGCCATTTTTATGAGCCATGGTCAGGCCTTGTTCAGCCACCCCTCGTCGGACATACGAGTTTCTTCCTTCGCAATGGTTATACGTGCAGTTGTAGGCTGCTCTAATCGTAGCGACAGCTGCGGAAGAAAGAAGCCGCCCACTAATACGAGCTTCTTTCGAATACCGACGGAGGTTATTGTAGACCAGTGCGAGCGGACGAACATGTTGATTGATATGTGGGGTTTGACGTCCCAAAGCCACCATATGATTATGAGAGACGCCGTATAGGGCTCCGGAAATTTCTACCCCCTGGGGTTCTTTAACGTGCACCCAAATCTGAACACAGGGGCCTACAACATTTCCACCTCCATCGGAAATGCAGCCGCCGCATCAGGGATTTGATCCCACGACTTGCGGGTCAGCAGCCGAGTACCTTAGCCACTAGACCACCACGGCGGGGCCGTACGAAAATGTTCTGCGCGAACCGTCGGAGGACCTGGCTGGCAGTGGCTTAGCCGGGGGGGGGGGGGGTCAAATTTTTCCCGAAAATTTTTGTCCAACGCACCCCCCTTGCCACTTACCCAACTCATTTTTTTCTTTACTTCGCGCTGACATGATTTAGAAACTAAGCACTGCTACTATCACAATATCATTCCTGGGCGCTTTAACAATGAATAATGGCTGCATACGGAAAAACGTGTCGCGGTGTATCTGTGAGATTTTGGGCAGGAATCTCGGCCACGAGTTTTAAAGTTGGCTCGGCAATGGGACTAATGCTTAAGCGGTGGTCGTACTTGTACCCACTGGAACATATCTCGCCATAGTCGATCACTACGATAATTGTCAATTAGCAGAGGTTCGTTATAATTGAACAAGCCAGACACAGTTCCAAGGTTTGGTAAACCACGTTACAGAATATTACTAACTATTCGTACGTGTGCTAAGATAAACTCAGGCCAGTGAATAACATTTCTATTGAACTTTCGCACGTTCTGCTAACATCTAAACACACACACACATGCATGCGACAATATATTTGGCTCATACACCTAACTTGGCTTGTATGCGCATGTACAATATATTTATACATATCTTTACTCTGCCCTAACGGCTAAAGGCACTTCGAAGTGTTGTATAGTGACGAAGGTGCGTGCAGGCCAATCACAGCCTTAGAAAGGCCTATTTAAATACTCATCATGTAATTTAGGCTGATAATTAAAAATATGGTCGTCATAAACCTAAAGCAGCGTAATGAGAAATGCGGTGTGGGCAGCTGTAGTGAGCACAAGCTTTATTGTTAAGAACTGTGGCAAACAGCGCAAGAATAAGGAACATAAAGCTGAAATAATATACGAAAATATAAATATATATATATTGATTCACTTTATCTGTTCGTCCCTTCATATTGACATGACTAGGAGGACACATCGAGCAATTTCTGCAAAAAGCCACATATCGCACAACAATCGCGTTCGATAACGATAGTCGTAGGTTCGATTCCTGCTTACGGCAAGTTATTTTTTCACCCACGTCTCTTCCTATATATATATATATATATATATATATATATATATATATATATATATATATATATATAAGGGCTTGTGGGTCCGGTTCAATATTCACGGAAAAGTCGGAACATACGCCCGTGCGAAGCAGTTTTATTGACGTTTCGCTCGGGGTCCGAGCTTCATCAGAAATTCTTCAGAAAAAAAAACAAGTTATACAAAAATGTTTATGTTCAGAACACCTTGGCTTCTTCCAAGTTTGGCACCTCGTCTTCTTCTTTTATCCCGCGCAGCTCGCTCGTGCCTGAGATTTCAGCGTCGATCCTGGCAGTACTGTACTGGTAGTCCCCACTGGTGCTTCGCTTGTTCTGTTTCGCATGCACACCACAGGCAAGATTGAGAGCGTAGCAAACAACTGACACGTGAACCTTAAATGTATCTTGCATCAATATAAATATGACTCGGAGAAAACATACTATGAGTCATAAAATTATTGAAAAAAAGCTCAAAATGCCTCTATTACACAGAAGAACCATAACCACTCTTGGGTAGCTTCACCGCACAAAAACTATACACATATACCGCTGCTGCTGACATATAAATAACTCTTGGCGTGTGTAGACTGCAGAATTCACGAATAAAAAAAAAACTAAACGTTTCGGTTTATCGAAACCCTCGTTTGCGGCCGAAGGAAGAAGATTCGTTTTAAATACAGGGCATAACCAGAGGCATAACCGTTAGTTTAATTAGAAGTATATCGTTCTCTAACAAGAATTGAGGCAACATCAGCACTAGGGTCTGTCCAAGCTACAAAAAAAAAATAGAAAAGCACACTTGCGCACACTTAGCTAACGCAAGCGCGTTCTGTGGTACGCTTTGCATGCTACCCAACAGCGGCGGGAGGCAAAATGGCAACCGTCATAGCAGACGACTCCGCGCGACGCGCCTGTCCTCACCCTGAGCGTAGCGCACGGGCATCGGGGCACCTACACACTACAGCAGCGCTATGGTGGGGGCCATCTAGCCACCATAGCAGCGCCAACAGTCGAGGCAGATGTGGAGAAGAAAGAGAGTAAATACAAAGAGGGCGAGGCGCAGAATTTTTTACAAAGGCGGAAAGCATGCGGCAAGCGCGTGACGCGGCGGACACACGGTGGCGAGGGAGCTGGCTGTACTGAGGCCGGCCGCGTTGGCTGCTGAGTGAGTCGTCGCACTGCGCCGCCACCTCTTGGAGTGCGTCAGAAGCGCAGTGCACGAGTAGTACGGGGTGTAGAGTTCTGTGTTCCCGTCAAAGGCGAAAGCACGTGCTTCAACCTCTCCAAATTTTTCCTAATGCCAAAATCCCGAAGCTGACGCCGACTTTGCCAAAATGTGAGTACCACAGTGCGGCGCGTTTTTCCTACTGGCCGATATCATTTTTTTGTGTACTATGCTGTAGCCCTGCGTTTCGTTTTTATTCTGCCGGAACACGTGTAACGCTTTAGGCTTATTCGGTACTTTCATCTCTTGAAATACGAATGAGTCATTTAACTTTTCTCCGTTGCCGAAGATAGCAACGATAGCTAGAATCACTGGTTGATGCAGGTGTGTATATCTCAAAGGAGTGTGCGAATCGCGACGTGTTCACACGTGGAGCCGGTCCGCCTGATGCCATATTGTTGATTAGGAAGCAGATTTGTAATAGCCCCAAAAGCCATGGCAGCTCGGCATCGCGTAGCTTGGTAGTTCAAGATCATCATTTTATTGTTTGAAAGATGTTCATGATGCTGTTAACGCTTTAATTCTTGAGTCATCGCCGAGTGCGCCAACTATGCATGGCACTCTCGGGAATTGCCGCGTGCGCAGCAGTCATGCCGGCATACCGGTATCCCGGCAGCCACGTGGATGTCCTCAATTGCAGGAATCGGTGGACGGTAGTCTCAAGTGGGCCGGCTGTTTGCTGACGTTGTGACGAAAGTCTTGTGAAAATAGTTCGCGTGCAGTTCAATCTACGCGTGCGGTCGCTATCGCCCCCCTTCTCTCTTTCCCCCCTTGGTGGCGTTCCCGCAGCATGAGGCGGAGGAGCTGACACTCGCACGCGCGTCGACATGTTCGTTATCATAGTCGGAGAAAGTCAGTTGGTGCGTTAATCTTTGAATAACTTGCATTATTTTGTGCTGTTTGGTACTTTGCTGCTCTTTTATACAGCTAGCTGTCCCTGCTTCTTTCTCTTTTCAGAAGCCGGTGACAAATGTATTCAGTGGAGATGAACAACTTTATCGACTGTAGAAATATGGAGCATGTCTATTTCGACCTACTATCAGGACCCCTTCTAGAAGATGATGATAAGGATATGATTGAGGCAGACTTGCCATTTGAACTCCCAGACTTATCTGATGATTTTGGATCTGAAGATTCGTGCTGGGTGCAGCAGAGTCCCATTTGGGGCAAAAATGTGCCTGATAATAATTCAGTAGAGGAAGAGGATGAAAGAAACATAAACTGGGTAAGTGATGTGCCTGGTTGGATCAAAGAAGTGCCAAAGATACTAGAGTCTTCGGAGGAAGATGAGGTGGATGTTGTGTCTGTTGACGACGACACAAAGTCTTTTCGAAGTGCGGAGCCCAGCACACCTGTCAAGCCGAACACTCAACCATTGCCAGACAAGAGCCCTAAGAATGCAACAGAAGGAGCACTTGTTGGTAGGTGCATTACAAAATGCTTCATGTTCGTAGAGATGGCTGCACTGACGTGTTGGAGCATCAGCATATGGGTATGCGACCTTTGTGATGTCGCATTAATGCTATCAAAACATCCTGTGTACGTTCTTTATTTATTCATGCTCAGGGATGATCCTGCCACATCGTTTATCACATTGATGCAACTTGTCATCAAAACCACCATCGGGGAGTGCCAGTACATCCTGAAGTTGCGTCCATAATGTCGTGCAGGCTAGATATTCTACGCTGTGTACCTGAATGTCATTCCCCTTTAACAGGTCCAGAAGACACTCAACATAATGTGACAAACTTTGTTATTTCAGCACCGATGCCAAATTATGTATTGGCTCTCAATGGTTTATATTACAATCCCCCGCCCCCTTATTTTCAAAATAAAGTGCAGTTGCACACACGGAAACAGTAATAAAATTCAATTTATGCAGCTAGGGACCGATTGAAACCTATACTAAACATAATTTTTTTGTATGTATGTTTAATATATTTGTATAAGCATGCACACCATGCTCCCCTTGAAACTGGAATTCTAGCTAAGCTTGCCCTGGCTGTACATCTGTACATTAGGTTAAACTTTTTTTGTTACATGTAAATTACAATTAATTTCAACAGCAGTTTGGTTGTGAAAAGTTCTTTGTTTTGAAACACTGCTCAGCAGTTATTTTCAGTGCGTTCATCCTTACTGGAGCATGCGCATTGCTAAGCAATATTATTATTGGTTTAGTTTGAAAACTAACTTGTCATCGGCAATACATTTTGTAGATCACTATGTGAGTGCTTGCCAGATGCTGTTAAGTGCTGATAGTGCAGGGCAGTAGTCATGGTTAAAAAGGATGCTTTATTTAATTTTTCAACATTCAGGATGCTGAGGGTTCTGGTCAAAAAGCTTCTAAATAGGCTTGACTGGGATCACGACCCCGTACAAATAGGGGGCGTAGACAACATTTTTATTATAATAAAATGTACAAACTTATGGAGACTTTATACATTCAATAAAGCCTAAATATAGAAAATAATGAACTCAAAAAGTGATACTGAAGAAAAGTTACTATTGATTGTAATTTCTTTATACATACAAAATCAAAAATAGTGTGTAACAATGCAAGAAATACAAGATTAGTACTAAAGTCGGATCCACTAGCAATCGGAACATGCACAGGCAAATGGAAAGGAGAAAAATAAATGCTTGCAAAAGAAATAAAACTTGTAAACAAATTAAAGTTATGAGTCGAAGTAACAGCACAATTAAGTATAGTCGAGCAGTAAAAAAAAAGGGGGGGGGAGAGAGATACCATATAGCAGCTGAAATGGCATTCAAGTGATACGGCATGAGAAAGCGCTGCATTTCTTTGCTATAGTTGGTGCGTGTGTGTGCATGGAATAAACTGTGTGAATGAAACGAGTGTTATAAAGAACTTAGGTCGGCAATAGTTCCTAAAGTTGTCACCTTTCAATCCTGCTAGGTAGCGTTAGAATTCCGATAGATTCATGTCACTAAGAATGGGGGTGGTGGAACTGTGATAATCATACATTCCTTCTTTTTTTTCTCTCAGTTTCCACTTCCCTGCTGGACCGTATGAAAGCAGCCACTGTGAAAAAGCGGAGCCCCATCTTAATCCAGCCTCCTGAACGAGGCCGCCCATCAAAGAATGATGCAGCTACCAACACCACACCATGTCCTGCCGCTACTCCTGACCATGATTATTGCACAGTGGCCAAGGGGGGCTCCAGGGCTGAAAACAATGCAGGAAAACAAAATCGTGCTGTGGTGCAACCTGTGTCCAGATCACCGTCTGTATCTAGGAGCTACCGCCTACAGAAATCCAGAGTGTCAAGACGGCCTTCACGATCGCCTAGGCGGCGGCGGCGTTCTCGTTCCAGTTCCATTTCTTCTGGAAGTTCTTGTGAATCGTCCGATGATTCAGTGCGGCGGCGCTCTAAGTCATCTCGCCGTTCTCGTGACTGCCATACTACCTGGCCATCACAGCACTGCCAGAAGACTCCACGAAGGTTCATGCCTACCCCACCGCGTCGACGAATTCCAGATCACAAGGTGCATGGTTTATCTACAAGTTGTATCACATCATGTTTACAAAACAGATAAAGTTTAAGCACAAACATTTTGGTTAGCATTCTGGATCTATTCAATAGCAACTTAATGTTTATTTAAATGTACTGCAGCACTGTAGCAGCACTAATCCACGAGTCAGTTAAGTAGTGAATGAGATAACAAAAATAACAGCAATATTCATACAGAGTATAGGTAATAGAAAAGAATAATTAGCTGTTGAACACTGAAGCAGTGGAAAAGAATAAATAGCAGTGAAACACTGGAGTAATACAGTATTCAAAGAGTGATTCTGAGCACTTTAAAGGGTCCCTGAATCATTTTTTTTTTACATTCCATTTTTGATTAGACCACTACTAGTGCCGTGTTATACAGTTTAGTTGATGTGTCTTCATTGTTTTTTCCTTCATTGTTTTGTGTTACACTGCCAACTACTAGGCTCCTCATCAGCTGAAGTGTCTCTCCCTCATTCATGCCCTTATTCTGTTTTTCTCTCGCTGTCACATGGGTGACTTTAGTCATTTTGATGAGTGTAGCAAAAAAAAATTGGCCCGTATCTGCAAATGCCGTCAAAAGAAGATAGTCTTGCGTATGGAGAGAGTGCACAAGACATTTACTTGATGTTCTGCGCAAGAAAATCTGTGTATGGTATTCTGGAGGCGCTGCATTAGAGTGCCTTGAGCGTGCAGCAGAGGCGAACAAGCGCATCAAGTCGCGTCGCACGTAAGACATGAACGCCATCTAGCAGTTTTGTAAGAAAACAAAGTGCATGGCTCTGAGACTGGTGTACACGCCCATCTCAGAGGTGATAAGGTGTAGAACGCAAGGCGACGGGTAGGTGCCACCACCGTCTCGTCTTAGCACAGCATTGGAAACACTCGCTTTTTCGTGCAAGCGTTGCATGGTCAGCGCAGCGTGATAAGCGCTACGGTATGCCTATGTATGCCTTTTGTAGTAAAAGACACACATGCAGAATATATACATGTTATGGTGCCCTAGACATGTGCAATAAGTGATTTTTAATTGACAATTTCACAAGCATGAACGCTCAACCTTGAGCAACATTGGTGGCCACTGCGGATGGGGTTAGCCGTTTCAAGTACCAGATGCCGTTAAAAGTGGACAAACAGACAAATGTACAGACAGACAAAAATTTTTGCGTAGAAGGTCCCCAAGAAAAACTATCATCTTGAAAAAACTGTGCTATTACAGCAATTCAGCAGTTTATATGTGGTAAAATGACCTCTGTAATAGCCGTTAACTAAAGCCTCACATTTCATGCATTTCAAGCACAAATGCGGAAATATTGTATTTTCTTATATTATTGCTCGGAATCACGATTAGCAGCACCTCCTATACTGCATTCAATGTTTTACTCATTCAGCCAGAAGTGGTTTTCATATGCAGCCAGTAATTGTACCTTGAGTCGTTGAATTAGAGTACTGGGAAGTGGCAGGAGAGCAAAGGAGCATGGTGTTGTTTGTTATTGTGGCAGATATCGTGGCCACAAGGCATGAGCATAGTCGCATTATGAAATTATTGCAGAGGTCATGTTGATAAGCCTTGTCACCTAGCTAAAACACCACAGTGTATTGCAGGAAACGTGGAACAGTATCACATTTTGTTTAACGCAGCTTTAGTTTGCTTTGGTAACTGTCCACGACTTCATTCAACAGTGCTTCACCACGTGATGTGGAGACAGGGGGTTATTGTTTAGAGGAACATTATGGAACCTGGCCAATATTCAGTAATTATTTTTGTTCAGGGTATGGTTGCAGTATCAATGAAAAAAAAAAATTTGCCTGATGATGTGAGAGCAGATGTCATTGGCAAAGGCTTGTGAAAAGGCTGCAGGTAGGCACTACAGTAGAAGTGTTCTATTGAGATTACAACATTTGTAATATGTAATAAACTTCTTGTTGCAGCTTGCTTTAGTGAGAGTAAGTGAATGTGTTCTCCATTAAGAGAGTTACACAGATGATTGTCTTTTACGCTATATGAATTATTGTGGGAGAACAACCCACCTTGTTCTATTATCCATGCTGAACATAGTGGAAGCAACAAATGCACACAGTGATGAAAGTGGTGCTCCAAACTGCTCTAAGGGAGAAATGTTGCTCCGAACAGTAATTTTTGCTGGTAATTGCTCCAAACCTGCTCCGAAATGACAGCGAGAGAAAGAGAATGACTAACTTTTACTCTTTGACTGACTCATAAGTCCTAGAGAAACTGAAAAGTCTGTGTACTGTCATGCTAGTGTACAACTAGTGTGCAGCATTATTGGTTCTGATCTCATTTGTGTTACAAAAACTGGCATATTAAGCATATAGCTCATTTCCTTATTTTTTTTTTTTTTTCTCAGCTAAACATACAGGCTGGTGTGGTGAAAATGTGCAAATAAACAGGATTGCTTTCATGTCATACCGACGATTTACTGCTTATGTGGCAACAGTTATATGGGACTGTGGTTACTTCTAAAATGTGGCGCTCAGCCTTTCCGGTTTGATTTGATTTCTCCCACAAGTACTAGTATTTTAAAAGAGCACAGACATCAAATTTAAAAATATAGATGTGCCCTTCATTCGATTGCTTGGTGTGCGTAGGTCCTCTTGGCCAAACTTGAATCACATCCGTCACGTGGAAGTTATTGTATTTCAACGGCAAACAGCGAACGAGAGCTTAATGGAAAATGGAGTGCCCCTGCGACATCGACACTAGCGCTACATGTTCGGTGTGATACATTGCACACATGCCATCTTGAGTGACTATGTGCTACTAACGATGACATCAAAATTCACGTGTTCTTATTGTGGCACCCACTGGCGCCGTAGCCTGGAAGCGCTCACTCTCGTCAATCCTGATCTTTGCTGCACTGCATTGAATAATTTCATGAAGTTACCAAGATACAAACCACCCATAAAAGATTGGTGAAAGAAGAGAGCGCGATTCAACATGTGCTCATCAGTCAACATGTCGAGGAATCGTTGAGTTGCAGTCGACCGGTTAGAAGCGTGGAAAAAGCGCAATGGGGCTATCTTTTCATTACATGTATGTTACACGCCAACACGACCACAAGCTATCAAAGTGGAGTAGCTTATAGATAGACATTATCACTAACAAGTAACATTATCCTAAATAGTGAATTTAAGTTTGTCCGTAGACTTCCTTGCATCCGTGTAATACCAGATTGCTGCCGCTGGATAGGCGAGGTCAGATAGGTAGGGCCATCTGGAGATGCCAAGAATAATCTGGCAAACAGGGAACGGTATTCTATTCCTCCGCTGGTGCGTATTCTTTATACCTATACAGTCGAGCCCACATATAACGGCCCCACTTAAAATGAACTTTCGCCTAAAATGAAGATCTGCATGACCGTGAAAATATACGTTATTTCAATGACACAAAATCGCATTTACAACGAACGTCTCCGAGCGCCGCCGATCGGTTACAGCGAACAAAGTCGGCACTCTGCCGACTTCCAGGGAAACCACTTTCAACCACGGATGAGGCATCGGCAAGGTGCCCATAGATTCTTATTGTTAAACGCCGACCCTGCCTCCGCGCCTCTGTAGTTGCCGCTCTCCCCACATCGCCAAGCGCCGCCCGTGCTTTCACACTGCCACCCATCTTTCGAAGATCAGTCGGCAGTCTCCCCTGGTTTTGATAGCTGGTACTGTCGTTCACGTCGCCAGCCTGGAGTGACCAGACCATTTGCCAGCATCCTCTGTATCTGATCGTCTGCGTCTTATCGTATCGTTCTAGTGCACACGCGTACGCTACCCCACCCGCTCTGATAATTCGCGATTCTTTTCGTGTTTAGGACCTGTTCTCGCTCACTTCGCACTCGGCTCAGCATGCCCTCCGCACACGCGCGGAAGCGTAAAAACGTCTGTTAATTTGCGCGGAACGAATCGCGAAATATCGAAGTCGGTGAGGCCACACCAACCAGCCGGCGCAACACAACGATTCTTTGACGGCGGCTGTCAATTTTTTTAATACTACCGCGTGCACCGATCCAGGCGGTCGTGCTGAGACCTCTGCATGCGCAAACACTTTTTGAATTTTTTCTACGCGCGAGTTGTGCGTGGACCTTTCAAGCAAGCTGCCTGACCTGCCTTGTGTTGCATGTGCGCGTCTTGCTCGCTCTCGGTGTGCGTGTGTGGTCAGGATCGCGGACGGGAGGCCTTGGATGCTTTTTCCTGCCGCTCAACAAAATGTCGAAAGTGTGACCGCTTGGCTTTGGCGAAATCTGCGTATTAGGTGCCGCATTGCGGAGCGCTTGCTCATAGCTGTTGACCACCTGGCAGCCAACTTGCCGCTTCGGGTGTCCCGGTGTTCAGCTGTGGAGATGGTGAATATTGCGTGGGCGGCGGTGACGGCTACATACGCGTGAAATTGTTTTCGCGAGGGTGACTTCGTCGACGTCGGGCACGATGCCGAGTGTGAAGCTTCCGAACAGGACGACTGCGGCGGCAATTTATGGCAAGGCGTCGTCGACTCCGACGTGGCAGTGCGGGTGGGACATCTTTTGCGATGCTTTAATTACGGCCAATGCTAATGCCGACACCACAGAACCGTGCACGAATTAGGGCATTGTGAATTAAGTATGCGGCAAGAGCAATTTGGAGGAATCTGATTGCGAGAACAACGAAACTTTGGAGCCAGTGCCTCATGCAGCTTATGCCACGGGCCTCGGCGAAGAGCACGCTGCTGTTTGAAATAAACTGAAGACCGCCCTTATCGCTTCTGCTCTTCGAAACACTAGCATCACGGACTTTTTTGGGCAAAAAATTTTGTGTTCTCACTCACAAGTTTTTTAAAAGCTGTGTTTCATTTACTACGAACTTTGGGATACAGCGAACGGATGCCGCCTCAGGATCAGGTTCGTTATAAGTGGGCTCGACTGTATTTTATTGACGCCCTTGCATATACCTGAATGCTGTACACGTCAAAACATATGAATATAGTTAATTGAGACACACGAGGGAGCATGGTTGAAGCATGCATCTTCGGGCACCTCCTCATTGCTGCTTGGAACTTGGAACGACGTCCATTTTAGAATGGCTATTCTGCAAGGGGTCAATCGAAGCAAACATGATTCACGACTTCGCGAATCACGGCAATTCCAAGCTCCAGACTGTTGTATTCAACCTTAGTTGGCACTTTGTACGGCGAAGACGACAATGCGGGTGACAAGGCATGACTGAATGTGTGGACCCAGCAGACGAAATGTTTGCGGAGCAGCTGAGCCTCATGTCATTCTTTTCTGTGGAGAAGTAGTAAGCTGTGGCGCAATTAAAAGTGACCGCGAGGTAGTGCCACTGGTAGCGCTCCCATGACACATACCAGTGATGCCACGATAGATACCAGTAATATAAATCAATAAAAGTGATAGTTATTCGTCCCTGAGTTGCATTATAGGTCGCAAATTGCTACTAGGGGGTTGATAGCTACTCGATGCAAAAATCATGACATAAGTAAATTTGATGTCAGTGCTCCTTTAAATTGCAGGTCATTTAGTAGCACATTTTTGGCAACCTGCCATTGTTTGCTTCATGAAGTTTACATTGTTGTATGTTACATATATTTCATGATAAATATTGATTATGTGATGCTTTGACAATGCTCTGAACTACAGTTAATGTATAGCAAATTTAATGTATGCTCCTGAAACACCGGTAGCTGTTCTAAACTATCATTTTTTCTTGCTCCGAAAACATTTATGGCTGCTCCAAAGTAGTACGTTTCCTGCTCAAAGTATGCTCAAAGAAGTAAAAAGTCACTTCCATCACTGTGCACATTCTAGCAGCTTTCTTTTGGAACTTTCAGGTATACTGCATGGCAAATTGCACTCCTGTGTGTGCTAGCGCGTGGTCTTGTATGGGATCCTTTGACACACAGTGGTGATATTGCTCTCTACCAGTGCAGCATAAATGGAGACAGTGAAGGCTGTGTGCTTATTATTATATGGCGTCCTTCAACTCGTCCTTAGTGGTGTGCACCGAATTGGGACAATATCTGTATATAGAATAGGCATTGTAGTAGCAGTAAAAGTTTTGGTATGCAACTACTCTCGCAAAAAAAACTGATGTCTACCATCTGTCCTTTTCTTTCAGGAAGAGAGACGTGTGATATATGTTGGAAACATCCCAGAAGGGACTACTCGACTTGCACTGCGAGAAAGATTTGCTCGATTTGGTCACATAGAGGAAGTCAGTGTGCACTTCCGAGACCATGGGTTAGTTTTAGTTTTTTGATTGCTTGCTGCCTTCTGTTGTGCAAGGATATTTCTAAGCACAAAGTTTGTCTGTTTTGAATGCAGGGATAACTACGGGTTTGTAACATTTCTGCGAGGCTCTGATGCTTATGAGGCTGTTGAACGTAAGTCTTCTTTTGAGTGGTTATCTTGTGCAGTTAACTAAATGCACATGTATTCACCACAGACGGCAACGATGATCCCAAGCTTCCTCGCTTTGACCTCTGCTTTGGTGGGCGCCGACAGTTCTGTCGAACCAACTGGGCCGACCTAGGTCAGTTACAGCCATTCCTTATGCCGTGCATTCTTGTCTAGCATGATGTACCTGTTTAATTGAGTTGATAAATCTTTTTGAAAGGTAGGACAGCCTTTGGGTAGTTGTGGATTGATGATGGGCTGGCTTGATGGCGGGAGTACAAGGCGATCTTGAAAAACAGGCACAGACAAGCTATACAGCGACGTGACGAAAGAGTAGCGAGGTTAGCACAAATTTGGTCACACTTGACTGATATAAATAATCCCAGAAGATGAATCTTGTTGCCTGGCTTTGCACTGTTTCATGTGTTTTAGTATTGTTACTCTGGTGCTTACACTGATGCATGTTAACAGCCACATATGTTTCACATAAGCAGTTGTTAACAGTTGAGTAACATGCAATGCCAGAAGCGGTAAGCTGATATGAAGTGCTCGTGAGGATGGTATTCCTGGACACTGCTACATAAATCAAATTCAGCAGATGGTGGCTGTATCATAGGGACACATGTGTAATCTTTATAAAGTTCGCCAGCACTGTAACCGCAATTGACGTTTCATTAGCATTAGGGTCTATTCGTTACAAAACGTGGCGTGGCTTTGTGGTAGAACACCTGAATGCCACACAAAATGCTGGGGTACGATTCTTGCTGGGACCCTGATATTTATTCTTAGCATTCGTAGGGTCTACACTGCTGTGCCAGTGCTTTTTTTTTTTAATGCTCACGCGTTAAAATTACCCTTGTCTCTTTTCACCGTTCCTGGGTAGATATAAACTGTCAATTACCTGTGGAACATACCCGTGCCACGTTTGGTGGAAAGGGTTTGATGACGTACGCAACAGAATTGTGACATTATGCAGCGAGTCATATTTGTGAAACCATCTTTTTTCCCCTTCCCTACTAATTTTGGTTTAATTACCTGTGGAACATACCCATGCCACGTTTGGTGGAAAGGGTTTGATGACGTATGCAACAGAATTGTGACATTATGCAGCGAGTCATATTTGTGAAACCATCTTTTTTCCCCTTCCCTACTAATTTTGGTTTAATTACCTGTGGAACATACCCGTGCCACGTTTGGTGGAAAGGGTTTGATGACGTATGCAACAGAATTGTGACATTATGCAGCGAGTCATATTTGTGAAACCATCTTTTTTCCCCTTCCCTACTAATTTTGGTTTAATTACCTGTGGAACATACCCGTGCCACGTTTGGTGGAAAGGGTTTGATGACGTATGCAACAGAATTGTGACATTATGCAGCGAGTCATATTTGTGAAACCATCTTTTTTCCCCTTCCCTACAAATTTTGGTTTACCCAAAGTTGAGGGGGTGATCACGAGAGCATGCAGGCATAGGCAGCTAGAAAGATAGATAGATAGGCATATAGATAGACGCTCATAGTGCCTGCAATATGAAAAAAAAATTTCGCATTTGAAGACTTTTTGCTTAACGGTACTCTGCTAAAGCAAAGCCCCTAGCTCCATTGCACCGCAGTGATTCCTGATGGGCAGTAAAGCGAGTAAATGGCAAGCATGGCTATATCAGAAAGCCATTTTCAGAGGTGACCGGTTTGATTTGCGACAACCGTATGCCAACCACGTAAGCGTGATTTTTCTTTAAACTGGTTTCCTTGGCGGGAAGGAAACAAGCAATACAAGTTTTCTGGGAAGGTTCATAATCAATCCATGTGAGCTTATTATGTGTTGCCTTTAGTATCCTTTTTTAAGAGACAAAAATTGGAGCTGGGCAGGTTACAGAATTTATACCAAGGAACGGGAAATGCTGCTAAGAGCAGCAGAGAGTGAGTTGGGGTTATCAAATTTAGTTTGCATATGTAATTCTAGTCCTGATGAGTGCGTAATCTTAAACAGGAAAAAAAAAACTTTCCATTCATTAATAGCCTGAACTTTTTATGCAGACTCACAGTACGAGAGGTATTACTACATTCAGCGAGAGCCACACCATAGCAACCTCGACTTCGACAGCTTGCTGCAAGCAGCAAAGTCCAAAGTTCAAGGTTCCCAACGCTACTGACATCTGTGGACCTTATGGTGTTTTTCTTTTAATGGCACCATACCCTTAGAGGTTTGGTTTGTGCCTGGACTGCTATTAACTTATTCTTCGGACGTGAGGTGCTATATAGGAATGATATTTAATGTGTACAGAATCCTAAGTGGGCTAGGAAAGTGTAGATATGTGCAAGGTTCCATTTTAATTATTTGTGATCTTCGTATATTGAATTGTGCTGAAGATGATGGTCAAGCTTGGAAATCCTTTCATATCCTTGCTAGTTACTATTTCTATGCTTTGTTATTTCATGCAACACATGTTTCCTTCTTGTTTAGCGCTGTAGCATATTTGTGGCCATCGTTGAGAGATTGGAGTGTTATGTTTTACAACTTGTGTAAAGTGCAGTGTTTTTGCTTACTTGTGTTTTATTGTTTCACCGTGCAAACATGGAACATTGTACCTTTACAATGTGGGGCAGGCTTAAGTGGGCAGTTTTTTGTTCATGTACATATCCATGTATTATAACGCGAATGACTGATTTTATGTTAAAACCTTTTAGCATGCAGGATGACTGTGTTTTAGCTAGTAGATATTCGTTTTATTTGAACATTTATGTACACCTCTGCATGTCCCTTCGTGTTCAACACGAGCTGTTTAAATTGGTTTTGATAATTAACCATTCAACATCTGCTCAGGTAAACTCTGGCGATTTTTCATGTTCACTGGATTTCGGTGAAGTTCAAAAAGTACAGTACCCTGCACACTTCCCTCATTTTGTTTGAAACAGGCATGAGAGTTGCACAGATTTTTACAAATGACTTTTATCAATCGCATTGAACAACACCCTTGATTTCTCCGTGTTAATGGCTGCGCTTTGCTGTGATACATGGTGAACTCTCTTCAACTCATTGCTGTTCTAAGCTGTCGCCTCCATTTTTGCCATTCAGGTCGGAAAATATTTTGCCACTGCAAAATATTTGTGCTGCAGGAAAAAAATAACTTTGCAATGTAAGCACGGATGATATCTTTGCTTTTTAAGCCCAAGTCGGTCATTGATATTTGGGCAACGTGTGTAAGAGCTCAAAACACTCTCCTGGATGCAGGGTTGGATTTTGGTCTGCAAGTTTGACAGACGAGCGCTTTTTTTTTCTTTGCTGCTTTGGTTGGGGGGCTTGTCAATAAAGTGAGGCTTCTCATCCAGCCTATCTTCACAATCCAAGCATGCAAGTGGGCGAGCAGTCTCGTCCACCAGCCGCTTGATCAGATTCCTACTGTATGTACTGCAGGTGTTGCTGCTCTTTATGTCCCTGCTTCAGCTGTTGCATTTATAGCTCAAAAAGGCAAAGTCTCTTGATTAATCCATGTAGGTTCTCCTGTTCATAGCATATGGTCGCATGTTGTTGCTTTGTGTGTCACCAGAGATGCTGTCTTCACCATCATCATAATCTTTGTGACTTTAGTGGAATCACCATCTCTGTCATGCCGTGTTGGAATTACTGTGCCAAGACCTGCTGCCTCAAAATTTTCTTTTTTTTCCTTCTCTAATTGCTTCATATCTGCCCTAAAAACACCACCAGTGAAAAAAAAGCAAGTGAAGGCAACTTATCCTGTTAACAATGAGGAAGTGGTGTTTAGCATTGCCGATATTTAATTTGCTGTATAGGGAACTACGAGCACGAAGACATTTACCTGCAGCCATTTTCTAGATTCTAAGACCAGAAGTTTACTGGTTCGAAAGTGGTCTCTACAACTGTAAGCCCGCACAGTGGCTGAAATGTCATCTAAACTGAACAATCGCAAGTTTTTTAGTGTGTTTTTTGTCTCTAGTGGCAACAGTACACATACTGTCATAATTTCAAATAACTCAGTATTGTGTCTGCTTCGAAGTTTATGAGGGAATTGACTGTGTGCATACACTAGCATGTTGGGAATGAATAACAGCCGGCAGCATCGAAGAGTCTACATTCGTGATCAATGCAGTGTGTTGCTAAGAATGGTGTTTGACAACCACCTGTTTGTAGCTGGAAGCCACAAGGAAACTCATACATACAAATTCTTTAGAAGTATAGCTTCTTAGTTGCTAAAGAATTGTCATAGGTTACGGATAAACTTTGGGCGCGTCTTTCTGGTAGCTCTACCAATCGAGCTAATTAGAGAGCTTGCAGTTAGCAGTGTTGAGGCAGAGTAATCAAGAACGCAAAGTACATACGTAGATTTCTGTAGAAATTTAGCTCAATTGTAGCTTGTATTATGATTTTTAAGGGACACTATAAGGAAATAACAAATTATGTTAAGGTGAAAGATCTGTGTTTGAGAATGTCTAATATGTCAATATTATCAACAGCAGTTCTCTACTAATCAAGAAATTCAGGTAAATATACGACATTATATGCGCCACGAGTGCGACAGTTTGAAATGATCCCAATGACGTCAAGAGTCCCGTGATTAAACAGGTTGCAATAAAAATAAAAGCACATTTCGTGCATTACAATAAGTAATACAATTCCGCTCGTTGATTCATGAAAAGAAAGGACTGCTTGGTCTTACCATGGAGAACACCACGAGTAGTTCAAAAGTTCTGTTTACACAAAACTGCACTTCACTCATGCACCTCAGTGGTTATCGCATACTGCTGAGTGCTTTTCGCGATTGTGAAAATCACTGACTGAAATTTCAACAAAATACTACAGTCATGCGATGTTTCTGGATGCCCGAACGGTGTAGTTGATTGTGCTGTGCTTAAGAAACAGACGTGACTTTCTACAGGGTGCTGCAAAACAAACCCCTACGCTGGAACCGGCTTAGTACCATGCCTCTGTGCCAGTATACAAAATGGTAAAAAAAAAAAAAACTGCGTGTGTGCTTGCCACACCCACAACTTGGGCAACGCTCGCAATGTGCCCTTCCAACCAGTGCTACACTGCTACTAGTGTTGGTGGTCATGCAGTGAAGGCTGGCAACATTAGGCATTCAGGGGGCGATTTGAAGTTCTGTGTGGACCACAAGTAATCTTATTTCATAATAAGCATTTTTTGGCATAAAAGTAGTGCTATGTGGTTTCTGGGTCATTTCAATAACCAACATTGACTTAATATTTGCCTTTAGTGTACCTTTAAGCAAATCATGACCATTCGCTGTATGTGTTGACACGAACAAATGTGCGGGTTGGCCTGAACTGTCGCTATTCAGGGTAAATTTTGCAATGGGTAACAAAGTAAAAAACTGCATAACACAGGACAGCGACAGAGACAAAATGCTGATGTCAGTCACTGTCCTGTGTTACGCGCTATTTTTTCACTTCGTTGATCATGTACCAACCGGCCCAAATAAGGACTTTATTGCAATGGGTAGAAAGCAGCACTGAGAGATGTTACTGTGAGTATACCGTGGTTAGGGTTATTCTTGGTCTTCATTTAAAACGTGATGTTTTGCGTTGGCTTACTGGTGTTCTCAGCACCTGGCTTACACTGCAGCAGATTGAATGCTAGTGGCAGTTATTGCCTCTTGAATTATCGAAATCACTGCTACTACATTGCTCAAACAGTTGCATACACATGGTCCCCTTATTTGTCATATGCACAAATAGCCTAAGCATCTGCTAGCTCTTCACATCGGCCGCGTCACATTTGTTCTTCATAATGGTGGAACTGGCATGCCTGACCAGTTTTTAAACTCGCAAATGTGTCACACAAATGGAGTATTGCTCATTAAGGTGTTGGTTTCATTTATCTTGCTTCTCTTGAGTATTTTACATTACTTTGGGACTGAGCATTTCCACACATGGCGGGAGCATCGCAGGAATTATGGTGACGTGAAAAAATCGCTAGAGTTACTTTTGGTAGGGTAGCTGTGGTAATATTTTCAGTTTAGTCATTGCATCTTGAAATTTTTGTTCCATGCAGTGCATAAACATTTAAAACTCAATGTGGTTGAAATTGTTTCAATATGTTGCTTGTAGCACTGATGTTGCCATTGCAGTGTACTCTCTGGGCTTCGTCTTGTTCTAGTTTTAATTAGTTGTTTTCTCCTTAGTTGTAGAATATATTGTCAATCCTCGACATATCGTATTCATTATGCAACAAGTTTCATTATCTGTTCTACAGACAGCCATGCTTTTTGCTTGTGTATGTGTGATTAACCTTCTGCAATTCCGATTTAATGAAATTTTTATACATCTGTGTGCACTGGGTCAGTCTGTGACAACGAAAGATGGGTAGACATCATGTGAGCCGGAATAAATTTTTTGCGGTTCTTGCGCACGGGAACATTTGCCTGCGAACATCAATAAACACCACCAGGCGAATAGAACGGAACACATCTATGCTATGAATGGAACACATCTCTGCATTAAACCTTCGAGGTGCAAAATTTTCTCACAAAGTGTATCCCCAGTGACAATATATTTTTATTTCATATTTATATCTTGAGAGTGACCTTTTTTCTAATACTTTCACAAATATTTTTAGTGGCTATAATCCAACATAAGTGTTTTCCTTGGGTATGGATACATTGTTTATTAATGAATAAAAATAAAGAAACTTTATTGTTTACACAGAATGTATGCTACTAGAATAAATCTTTCACAGGCACAGGAAATGTGGATATCAGGGAAAAAAATGTGCTGACGTGGTAGCATTATCCATATATGCTGGTGTCATTTCTATACAACAGCATCTGCAGGAAAACAGTTAAAACTGCACCCCTTTGGCCACCAGCAAATGAGCTAGTATCAAACGGTTACCCTTTGAGAGGTTAGAAGTCAGATAGACATCAGTTTTTATAAGTGCAACAATTAGAAACTACCTTCAAGACAAAAAAAATCGCAGCATATCCACGAAATGAATGATGGTGAGTGGGTAAAGCTCCCGAGTTCGTTAACCCCCTATGTTCTTTCACAACTAAGTGCACTTCATGACCATAAGAGAGAGAGAAAGCCGGAAGCCAGCGCGTTCTATAGCTTTTGGGCCACTGCAGCGAAAGAAACGGCATGCCACGCTCGCGGCTGGCGCTCCCAGTGCGTACAAGCCAGGACAATGGACATAGTGTGTCACGCCGACGAAGAGATAAGGCTCGACCCTAAGGAGCTTCGCCCTTAAAATGAGCTTACTGCTGTGCACATGTAAATGTTCGTGCGACGGTCAACGTACCAGCTTAAGCGAGCCTTGGAGTGCAAACAATCTGCAGCAACGAAAGCGGTGCAGCATTGTGTGCATACTAGACATACCACACCTGTTCATGGCCAGGAGTGATGCAGGCATGACAAAAACGTGTCCCTTTCTTTCTCTTGCAGATATGTGTATGGTGCTGCAAGTTTATTATGAACGAGCGTGATAAGCAATGACGATGTCATCAGTTGGTTGGTTGGTTGCAAAACTTTATTGAGGTCCTGCTAGGCGCGCGCAGCGGGCGACTCCCCCGTCGGGACCGTTAGGTCATCAGTGACACCACATTATTTGTCATGTCATAAAATTAGGTGTGATATGTAGCATCATGACTTTTTGCATCACTAGTGTTGATGCCAAGGGTCCCTTCTCACATTCGATAAGACATCTGAGGCCTGTGTCTTGATGAAGTGGCGCCTGATTTCGCTCAGTGGCAGATCTCTGTAAATATGCTGCCATGCATATGGGAAAGGTGGGTGAATCATCTGGTCTACTGGCATGTTTGCTTTAATAGTTTAAAAGCACTCCTTAGTATTGCCACTGTGCCTTATCCTACAATTGTACAACTGGCTTGCTGTGTGTCCCATGGGAAGCAGTCTCTACTCTTTGAAATGCAACCCTTCAGTGCACTTACTGATGAGATGTACATCAAAATTGTTTGGGTAATTTGAGAATATATTTGCTGTTTAAACATAGGAACCTTGACTTCATGAAATTTGTGATATAGTGGTTATGCTGCAAGTATGACTTCGTTATATCGAGGTGGAAATTTCATGTGCGTTACCAAACTTGCGAACCCACTGGTCTTAGGTTTGATTCCTGGGCCAAGACAAACTTTTCTTTACTGTGAAGCTTTGTTTTTTGAAAACTTCTAGGGATTTTGTTTGCTTTGAGCTGATAACAGTTGTCTTTTGAAATTCTCTCACGTGATGGTCTTTTTCTATATGTGGTTACAAAGAATAACTAGAGTTGCCCTTCGATGTTTGCAGAGTTCATTTGGATTAACCCATGTGTCGGTGTGAAAAGCAAACCTTGCTATTTTAGCGTATAAAACATCTTGCTACTTGGGCTGCTGTGTGAGCTGCTAACACTTAGTGCCATTTTCATCTGGTTTGCTTGGGCAACTGCTTATGCCGCCTGTTAAAGTAAATTTGCAACATATGTTATAGTCACTGTTTAAGCAATAAATTACTTTATATACCTCGCTACCTGCATGGTGCTCGTCATTCCTATATTCTGCAAAGTAGTTATTGCAATAAAGATGGACATTGAGTCTCACCCAATTTATATGCCATCTCTGGTTTTTGGTAAATGTCACATTCTTAGCACCATTTGCTGCACCACTGTTGATCTAACGAGACAGCATATTTCAGTCAAACATGAGGTGGTATTTCATGGTCTCCAAGTGTGACCCATAGCGACAGTGTGAACAGTGCTACACAATCTGTATTACTCTCATGCGACTAGTCCATACCTGGAGGTTACAGTAGGAAGGACAACCGAAATTTTAAATGCACATCTTTATACGCCAAGGCTGCACTGTGCAGCAGATTCCCCACCTGCAAGGACGGCAGTTGAAGGGCCACTCACCAGGCCCCATACTGAATTTTAGTTGGACAGTGGAAGTTGTTGGGTGTCCGATGAAGAACCTTTTGCCACAAAAATTTTTCGAATTGGTTCCTCACGAGCGGAAAAAACAGATTTTTTGAAGCGGCGCGAAATGATGATGAAAGGAGCCGAGCTCGATACCCTTGCCGCTCCTCCACGTAGCCTTCGCAAGCCAAATCTCTTCCCCACCCTCTCCGGCATCCGACAATGAGGTGACGTGCGTATTACGTGACCAAACAAGTCTAACCCCCGAGCACGCGAGCTATGTTGCTTTGTTGACCAGCGTTTTGTGGTCTTCTGTCTGTTTCTGCGAGATGGTTTGGAAACGCTGTCTTAGACGCGGTGGGATAGATGAGCACAATGAGTGCGCGAATGCATAGGAGTGTTCCACGGCGGTCGTCTGCTCAATGCGCTGACCGGGGGGACACGAACGCATGCGAAACGCTATCACATTAGCTCTGCATCTCGTAGCATTTCACAGGAAAAAATGAAAGAAAAACGCGCACAATTTTTTATTGCATCTCATTATTGATTTCAAGTTTTATTAATTGCTTAAAGCAACAAATACATAAACTATGCATGTTGTGTTAAATAATTTTTGCCATGTCACGTGGTATACTGTTGACAACGTCAGAGCAGAGTCGTCTACGTAGAGGGCCAACGCCATTGCATTGCCGTGTACGTAGGCATTCATACGTCCACGTCATGCCCTCATTCTCTAGGCGTGCGCCGGCAGAGGGGAGGGGCAGCAGCGTTCATCTTGAAATTTGACCTGTTTCTGCGGTGCGTAGTGTTGCAAATTTTGGCAGACGTGGCCATGGACGTTTTGTCTACACATTGTGCTTGTCAGCTCAAAATTTTCAAACCTGGTGAGTGGCCCTTTAAGAAGCATTCAAAACATTAATTGCGTCGGTGCATTGCTAGATGTTATCTAGAAGATATAAGTTAAGACTTATGAAGAATCATTATTCCTGCAGGCAAGGACTAAAGCACTAGATGGGTTTAAACAGAACCCTTGATCAATACAAGTGAAGGTTCTATGGTCAGCCACTAAGGAAATTCTCATGCATGATTAGGACGGAGGTCAAAAAAAGAGGTTACGAGAGGACTGCGCTGAGTTGCAGATTCCATTTTGAAAAAAACTAAGTATAAATTCATACGGTGCGATCTGGCAGACAAAACAAATGTCTGCCGTGGCGTGCTAAACTGGTAGCGTAGCCATGGGTGCGCTCCCCCTCCGGGAAGATTTCTGGCAACGCACCACCTCTATATATAATTGTTATTGACACGTCTTCACATTTATGCCTTCGGAAGGCTGCAGTGAATGTGTGTGTGGGGGGGGGGGGGGGTACAGGAAGACGCAAACATCGCATTTTGTGCTCTAAATAATGGTGACATTTACCCACGGAGTAAGATAAGAGAGGCGCACCGACTCCGCTCATCTGGAAGGTACACATCTTGCAACGCCGCTTCATGTTTCGCAGTTGGTCTGCCAGGTGGCGCTACGAATGGAGGAAAGCGGTGGAACCATCTAAACTGCCTAAGAAATGAGACAAGCCTAGAGAAGAGGTTTATAACTCGAGCTCAAGGAGTTAGGCTAGAAGGGGATGAAGATATTGAATATATAAGAACAAACGTGACAGAAACATTTCAACAAAAAAGTGCCCTATACACCTTAGTAGACAAGGATAGATTAAGTGGCGCAGAGGCTCCATTTTCACAATGAGAGGGGGAAAGGGCTGAGAAGAGGGTTCCTAGTAGTACATCAACAGACTTGGATGGCATCCCAATTAAGCTGATAAAGGCACTGGGATCCAAGTCTAAGCAGACTTTGAGAGAGGCAGCGATCAAAACAATAATCAATGGTGAAGTCACAGAGGGATGGAAACTTAGCAGGATGAGCATGATCTATAAAGGAAAGGGGTAGAAAGCTGGCATAAACAACTACTGTCCTATAACAGGGACATCAGTGGTCTACAGGCTGGCGATGCAGATTATAAAGAAAAGACAACAGGCATGGATTGAGGATGAAAGGATGCTGGAGGAACTCCAGAATGGATTTCGGAAACACAGGAGGTTAAAAGACAATCTGTTTTCTCTGACGCAGTGCATCGAAATAGCAGAAAAGAAACACGGGCCCCTGTGGCTAGCATTTTTGGATATCATGGGAGCGTACGATAGCGTGGTTCAAGAGGAATTGTGGGGAATACTGGACACACTAGGCGTGGAACATGTAGTCACTAATCTTTTAAAGGATATCTATAAATGTAACAAGGTAGTTATAAAGTGGGAAAAACAGGTATCCAAGCTTACAGAAGTAAAACGGGGCTTAGGCAGGGGTGTCCCCTGTCACCCTTGTTATTCATTTGGCCTCTAATTCTACAAGTATTAGAGGCCAAATTAGAGGGAAGTGGAGTGGGCTTCAACCTCTCTTTCGTCAAACAAGAAAAACTCATTGAACAGGCACACCAGCATTGATGTACACAGATGATATACTAGTGCTAATGTCCGACAACAAGGAAGATTTGCAGAGATTGGACATCTGCGGTAATGAGAGAGATAGGTTAGATTTCAGATTCAGTAAGAAAAAATCAGCAGTCACGATTTTTAGTGATAATGAAGATAGTGAGCTTAGGATACAGGAGGTCACGCTAGAAATAACAGATAAATACAAGTATCTGGGTGTATAGATAAGCAATGACACCGAGTACCTAAGGGAACATGAAATATACGTAACGACTAAAGGTAACAGGAATGCAGCGGTGATGAAAAATAGGGCACTGTGGAATTACAATAGGTATGATGTTGCGAGAGGAATATGGAAAGGGGTCATGGTTCCTGGTCCGACTTTCGGCAATGCGGTCTTGTGCATGAGATCAGAGGTTCAAGCAAGATTAAAAATTAAGCAACGTAGAATAGATAGGCTTGCCTTGGGAGCTCTTGGGAATACACGAAATCAGGGAGTATAAGGTGATATGGGATGGACATCATTTGAGGGCAGGGAAGCTAGTAGCATGATAAAATTTTAGAAGCAATGGAGAGAAATAGGGGAGGAGCGTTGGGCTAGGAAGGTTTCCAGCTACTTGTACATGAGGAATGTCGATACAAAATGGAGGAACCGAACCAGAAAATTGACGGGTAAGTACTTAGAAATGAGCAGGGGGCCAAACCAAAAAGAACTATCTGTTAAGCAAGGTGAAGGAAACGGAGATCGATATGTGAAAAATTGGCATGATTAAAAAGTCCACAATAGAGATCTATCGAACTTTTAAGTAGGAAATTGCCAAGGAAAGGATCTATGATAATACTCGGGGTAGATCTCCACTGTTTGAGGCTAGGATGGGAATATTGTGAACCAAGACTTATCGGGCCAAATACAAAGGGGTAGACACAGTATGCAGTGCGTGTGGAGAGGAGGAAACTGCAAACACCTGATAATGTTATGTAAAGGGCTTTACCCTATAGTTCAGGATGATGGCGCAGAGTTTTTCAAAGCACTGGGATTTAAGGACAGCGAGGGCAAAATAGACTTTAAGCGGGTAGAAATAACTAGAAGGAGGTTATCTGATTGGTGGCTGAAATCAAGGCACGAGTGAAAATTAAATCCTTCACTGCAAAGTACCAGTCCTCAACTTCACCATTTAAAGGAAAAAAAAGATAAATCTAGTTGTTGGTTCACTAAGCAATACAAATAGGTGGCGTTAGCCGCCGCCCAATCTAAAGGGTACAGCCATATCAATCCATCCATCCAGCACTGGAGGAGAGCTGCTGCCATGGAGGAAGGAAGGAAAGTGGTTTCTTTCCTCCATGGTTCAGCGAGTTCAGTGACCATGGGAATGATGGGTAGTACACGAGGAGATGATTTAGACTCCAACCAAAAGTTTTCAAGAAACTTCCTTCCTCAGGGTTGATTGTGAGGACTACGTAGCAGCGGCGTCTTCAAAGCACTCGCGGGGCGGATAATGACCCCCCTCTTTCTCTTGTTTTGCTGTGGAGCGCAGTTCATGTGTATACACCGGGGGAAGGGTTCCGAGAGAACAGTTGATGTTATGGGCTGTCCTCTGTATAGGCCACGACTCGAGTAATAACCTTCTCCAGTTCGGCTCGCTTTCAAGGATGGCCGTCGTTTCAAAATTTATTCGGTAATCCAACGTTTCAGCATGTTCAGCGACTGCGCTGCACTCTTTGTAGAGCTTCCACACATCGTTGGTGTGTTGCTTCAGTCGTTCCGGTAGGTTTTTTGTCTCCCCGATATACGAAGGGGGGCACTCGGCGCACGGAATTTTGTAAACAGGAGTCCTGTGCCCGTTGCACAGGACCAGGGGTCCTGTCGATTGTTGGACTGTCTTTCGGGTGGGGGAGGAGGCGGCCCAGCGTACACAAAGGCATGTGCGCGATGCGAACCCCTTCCTTCTTCAAGATCCGCACCAACATCTCACTGGTTCCCTGAACATATGAAACTGGTACGCGTTTCGGGGGGCTGCCTATTAAGGTTGGTTGGGGTTTTCGTATCTTCTGTCGGTCTGCGCGGCGACTCAAATGAAGTTTTTTGGGTATCCGTTTTTTCTGAGGTACGCAATTACGCGGGCCTCTTCTTT